GGAGGTAGGGTCTGGCTGGAGATAGGGCAGGGGGTGCGGGGCTGGCTGCGGGCAGGGCAGAGGCTCCCCTGCTGCTACCGCCCCGGCCCTTTAAATAGCTGCCAGAGCCCTGGGGAAGCAGCGGGGCTTCCGCGGCTATTTAAAAGACCAGGGCGGCAGAGGTAGCTGGAGCCCCGGCCTTTTAAATAGCCGCTGGAGCCACTCGCTACCCCAGGGCTCTGGGGACTATTTAAAGGGCCCAGGGCTTCCCTGCTTCTATCGCCCCGGCCCTTTAAATAGCCGAGGGAGCCGTGGGGAAGCAGCGGGGCTCCAGCGGCTATTTAAAGGGCCGGGGCGGTAGAAGCAACGGGAGCCCCGGATTTTTTTAAATACCCCCAGAGCCCCGCAGCCCTACCCCAGGGCTCCAGAAGTGGGGCTCTGATGGCAATTTAAAGGGCCTGGGGCTCCAGCCCCTGCTGGGAGCCCCAGGCCCTTTAAATTGCCCCCTGGGGAAGCCGGGCCACCCCGGTACGCGTACTGGTGGCGGCAAGGGCGCGGGGCCCTCTTAGGTGCGGGGCCCGATTCAGGGGAATTGGCTGAATCGGCCTAAAGCCGGCCCTGCCCACCACTGACACATGTGAGCATGTAAGAGGAGAACGAGCTGCTGCTGCTGAATGAGCCTGCATATTGCTCTGTCTGCCATATGTGCAGGGCCGGCGCAACCCATTAGGCGACCTAGGTGGTCGCCTAGGGCGCTGCGATTTGGGGGGCGACGACCGCGGCGGTATTTCAGCTGCGGGACCTTCCACCGCCTCTGTGGGGGGGCGGCATTTTGGGGCGGAAAAGCTGGCGGCGCTCCCGCATATGTGCTCCCAACACCACTTCCCGATATGTAGTTTAAAAATCACTCCCATCCCCTTCATTTATCTCCAGCTTCTTTATTGCTGTACACATTAGTGAGTAGGTGCAAACAGTCTGGCTAGATTTTAAATCAAAGCTATGCAAATCAATTTTAATCATGATTTAAATCAGCAAGCAGGAAACAGGTGATTAAAATCACTAATTTTAATTTGTCCTTTAGCTACACCTCTACCCCGCTATAACGCAACCCGATATAACACTAATTCGGATATAACGCGGTAAAACAGCGCTCGGGGGGGGGGGGGCAGGGCTGCGCGCTCCGGCGGTCAAAGCAAGTTCGATATAACGCGGTTTCACCTATAACGTGGTAAGATTTTGTGGCTCCCGAGGACAGCATTATATCAGGGTAGAGGTGTATTTTCCTCAAGACCAGTTTAATTCACACTGGTTAGTAGGGGGTCGGGCTGACCTAGGAGAGACCGCCTTAAAAGCCAGAGGCTAAGCAACTAAGGAACCGCAAACAGGGGCATTTAAGAGGGAGAGGGGATTCCCCTGCTGAACGAACACGGTGCGCGTACTAATCTCGGGCTGAGTGAGCGAGCTTGTTTGGCTGTTTTTGGTTTTTGGCTGTTTGTTTTTCTTTCTCTTTCAGGTTATTTAAAGTTACAGGGTAAGTTGGGTGTGTGTGTTTGGGGGCTGTTTGAGCCTTTGTTCCCTGGATCAGCCTTGATCATCTTTGAACAGCCTTCATCAGCCTTGGAGAGAAGGCCTTAAAAGCCAGTGGCTAAGCAACCAAGGGGAGACAATAACATAGACTGTCATACCATTGGGGCAATAATCTGGTAGCGCTGTACCACCACCTGGCGCTCTCAATCACTGACACCTCAACCTAAGGTCAGTCTAGCACACTGGGGTACTGGGAAATCTCCCAGGAGGCCCCATCCCCCAACCACGCACAGCTTAAAAATATGGGGGTAGGGGGGCAGTGTTAGAATCCTGTCTCTTTAAAACTGGCAGAGAAAAGCCTCAGCACTCCACACAGGCAGATCCCAGGGGGGCCCCTCAGCACTGCCTTCCTTTGGTAGTGCCTGTGTAACCCACGCCTTGTGGGTGTGGTGTTCTGTCCCAGTAAGTGAGTGAGTGGGGGTTGGGGGGAGGGGGGGGAGAGTCTGCTCTACAGCTTAGCTAACAGCCAGTTGGCTTTTAGCTCATGCGGTAGAGGCTCATGCACTAAGCTCCAGAGGTCCCCGGTTCGATCGATCCTGCTGGTGACCGGGGTCTGCTGGCGTTACACCAGCACTGCAGCATAATGCCCCAGAATGCACTGCAGGCGCTGACTGCTTCTGTCAAATGAAGGGGAGGGGCCCCATCACAGTGCCCTGTGGGTGTGGCTCCACAGCAGCTGGGAGATGGGATTCCCTGCTTGGGTAGATGTACATATGCTAGCTCTGCTCAAGCTAGTGCTGGAAAAAATAGCAGTTTGTCCCGGCAGCAGCTAGCACACTGATGAATTGAGCCCTTTTTCTTTGCCTTCAAGGCCCTGCATTACTCCATCCACCTATTTAATCTGACCTTCTGTTTTATGTCATCCCACCACTGATGCCAGCCTAGGTGCTCCCTTTGTCACTTCTCCCACAGCCAGCTCTAGGCTTTTTCCCACATTGCCCTCTAGCCCTGGAAGGCTGGTTCATAAGGCCATCACCCTCTCCTCATTCACATCTGTTGGGAAGACCCACTTATATCACAAGGCCTACTGGAAATGCGTCACTCTCGGCATACAATGTCACTGAGGAACCCTGCAATCTAACTGCTGTCACCCAATCCTTCATCTGCCACCCCACCCTACTGTACTGTGACCCCCTTCAGTCTATCATGATCTGAAATTAGACTGCAAACTCTCTAGGGCAGGGATTATCATTTTTTTTATCTGTGCTGTGAGCAGTGGTGCCAACTCATGATTTTAATTGCAAGTATAGGCACCCTTTACTAGCGGGGCCTCTGAACTTTACTGGGAGTGTTCCAGGGGAAAAGCCTGTGTGCTGCAATCTAGCCTTAGAGACTACAACTCCCATGATGCCTTGGGGAAAGAGGGGGAGACTACCTCGTGCAGGGAGAGAAGGCATCAGACTCTATTTTGGGAAAAGGAGTGAGATTGCAGCTGTGGAGCTCTGTCCATACCAGGAGCTGCTGCTGAGAGCCTGCAGGGGCTTTGATCAAGCAGGGAGCCTCAGAGGCTGTTGGTGGCTTCACTGGAGCCAGGTCAGAGACGTTTGCTGTGCCTAGCGCTGACTGAGGTGGTGGGCCTGCAGTGAAGGAACTGAGAGTAACCCTCCGAAGAAGTGGGCTGTAGTCCACGAAAGCTTATGCTCTAATAAATTTGTTAGTCTCTAAGGTGCCACAAGTACTCCTGTTCTTCTTTTTGCGGATACAGACTAACACGGCTGCTACTCTGAAACCTAGGGTTACCATACGTCCGGATTTTCCCGGACATGTCCGGCTTTTTGGGCCTCAAATCCCCGTCCGGGGGGAAATCCCAAAAAGCCAGACATGTCCGGGAAAATAGGGAGGGAGGGACCGGCAGTGCTCAGCCAGGGGCTGGAGCCGCTGGGGCCGGCAGTGCTTGGCCGGGGGCCAGGCCGGGGCCGGCGGTGCTGGAGCCGGGGGGGCCGGCGCTGCGGAGCTGGGGCCGGGCGGTGCTTGGCCCGGGGGCGGCGGTGCTCTGCCCGGGGCCGGGGGCTGGAGCCGGCGGTGCAGGGCCAGGGTTGGGGGCCGGCGCCCCAGGGCCTGAGCCAAGCCGGGCGGGAGACGCCGGGGCCAGAGCCTCTTGGCCTGGGCCAGCCGGCGAAGGAAGCCGCTCAGCCAGGGGGGCCGGACTGGGCCGCGCCCCCCCGCCCCAGCTTGCCTGCTGCTTCAGGCTTCCCGCGAATCAAATGTTCGCGGGAAGCAGGGGAGCGGGAGGGGCGGGGGGGGCGAAGCGTCCAGGGGAGGGAGTGGATTGGGGCGGGGCTGGGAAGGGGCGGAGTTGGGGCAGAGCCGGGGAGTGTCCTCCTTTTGGACACTTAAAATATGGTAACCCTAAGTAACCCCCACTCTCCAAACTCCCTGGTTTGGGAAAGTATTTGCAAGGGAAGGGGCACAGCAGAGAGACAGTCTGAGGAGACGCAGAGTGATCTTCCCATCGAACCAGGACCCAGAGCTGCTGACATTTGGTGGAGCCAGCTCCAATCGTCCGAGGGGTTGTGCAGTTTCTTGCCTTGGCTGGACTGATACACAGAACCGACAGAGTGCTGTCTCCAGCTGTAGATCTTCCAGCACGCCCACATAAGCGTCTAGGACTCCGAAATCCAGAGGAGTGTGCACTGTGGGGTGGGGTCAATGGTGGCAGTGTAAATGCCAGTTAGATAAGTTTCATTTATTGCTGTATACTATATTTGTTAATTGATTTTATTCAGTTGCCCCCTGTGGATTTAAATTAGTAGTGACATGTAATCTTAGTCGGTTAGACACTGATTTTTTAAGTTGTTAAGTAAAGGTATGTTAACTCTAACGTAAATATATTGGATGTATATTATTTATAATTGGTATTTTTGAGTTACACCCATGCCACAAATTATGTCATAATTATTTATTATTAGAATAGCTTTATTCCTGGAGGTTCCCAAGGCACGCCATTGAGTGTGTACAGGGCCCAGCCAGGTGGAGGCACCGCCAATTTTAAATTCCTTTAGGAGTAAAGGGACTGCAGCAGAGGGGTGGATAGAGGATTCCCATCTATCCAACAGCACCACTGGGATACTCAGGATCTTCTTTAATGTCAACAATATCAGGCACACAGGTGAGTGTTGCCTGCTCCCGAGTAACGCAGGAAGGAAAGGGGGGGCTACACAAGTCTCACAATATTTGGTACGTTTTTTAAAACCCTAGCCCCAGATGTCAGGTGATTTAATGAGAATTTCAGCTTTCATTTAAAAAAAAAAATTGTTTCGAGCCTGCATCGGTACAGAAAAAAGCATGAAAACGTGTCTCAAAACCCTAAGACAAACCCACAGAACCCAAAATGTTCTATATTTATTTAATCACATGATTTTTTGGGACTCATGCTCTTTGAACACTTGGTACTGGCAGTACAGTGGGAAGGGTGTTAAAATCACATACTCTAATAACAGTGGTGAACACACATTGTTTAATAGTTTGACTGCACCAGAAAAGAAAACAATATCCTAAAGCATTTTCACAACCAGGAGTACAGAACAGTTCTAGCCCAGAATAGCCACTAATCACTGAGCGATGACCCCCACTACCAAAGGTAGATTAGAGCCTGTGCCCTAGGCTGCAGAGCTGGAGGGGGGGCATGACACCTGGGCCACCGCCTGACCACTTTTAAGCAGGTACATGGAAAATAGGGTTGCCACTGACTGGGCTGGGTTTTCCACTCTCTTGCCAGTTAAGAGATGTCATTGGCTGGTCTTCTTTTTGTTGATGCCTGTTTGGTGATCTTGTAACTAGTGGTCATGCTCATCATGGCTGGAACAGAAGCCACCCAGGTCCCACTCTGTATGCGCAGCAGACCGGGGCCTCACCTGACAGTTGCCAAAACCACGATGGCACCTCTCAGCACCAAGGGCCACCCGGGAAGTGAGACAGACATCACCAATGGCCAGGCTCGCCAGCAGGGAGGGGGTCAGGTGTGGAGTAGGGGAGATGGGGTCCTGGGAGAGAACAGTAGAGGGGAGGGGCTTCCAGGGGGCTGAGGCTCTTGAGAGGGGGTAGAGTGGGCCAGCAATTTCAGGTTCTCAGGAATGGTGGGGCACCTGAGAGTGGAAGAAGAGGGTCATGCAGAGGGTGGCAAATCTATTTCCCCCAACTTTAAAGGGGGCATATGCTGCACTAAATCCAACCTCCCCTCCAAAGCACACTGTTCTTCAGAGCAACTAGTAGAAAGCCAGGGGTTTGTGGGGAGAAATAATTCAGGACAGCTCCTGTAGATGGCCCATACAGATCCTCTCTCCTGAGATATTTCCACACATGACTAACCCAAGAATTATCTGAGAGATTTAATGAAGGATTTTGTCCCATTAGGTTAGTAGCTAAAAGGGCACCTCCAGCATCTTAGCCTTGACAGCCTGACCAACCCCACAGTACATTGGTCTTACTCAGCTTGAAGTTTGAGGCCACTTTCAGCAGGAGGCTGCAGCACCACTTCATCTTCGGGAAGCACTCCCTAAGCAGGGCTAGTCACTACAGCCTGGAGCTCTGGGACTCTCCTGACCAGCGCTGTCACAAGGAATGCAGCCTTCAGAGCCAGGGACAGAACATTCTCCTTGAGATTGAAACAGAGACCAGCAGCTTGGCTAGGATGAGGGAGAAGCCTCTCAAAGGCATTGGGAACGCAGAGGAGGGATGTTAAATGTCCCCTTTCAATGGAGAAACTGCTTCCCCTGGAATACAATATGCTGCAATCACTGACAGATTAGTTTTAAGGGAATTTACTGAGCAGCCCTATTACCTTACAGTTCATAATGCCCAGGGCAGGTGCTGACACGGATAGATGGTCTCTTTCTATCCATGCTGCCCATATAGAAAACTTTCTCCTTGTCAGGCCCTTTATCTATGCCAAGGGACGTAGGCCTACTATGCTACGCTATTCTTATTCTATCTTGCTTAAGGTAATGTCTTACAGGGTACAGGCCTGTAGGTTCCTTGCGTTACTGCTAAATATAATAAAAGGCTAAACTAGCTCTATGGGCTACACTGCTGGCCTGGTGGAGTTGTTGGTGTGGCTGGGGTTGGTGAAGGCAATCTTTGCTGCTGACCTACCACACCGGTCCTCTACATGCTCGCCATCCTCCTTCGGCGCATCTGGGCCTGCTGCAGACGGTGCTGAAGTTGCTGTTGGCGAAGCTTGTGTTTAATATTGAGGCAAAAGGGCACCGGGCACTTGTTCTCCTGGCAGTGCTTTGCATGGTAGCAGCAAAGAGCAATGAGTTGTTTGCAAATAAGGCACCCTCCGTTGGTCTTGCGCTTGCAGCCTTTGGTATGTTGGACAACTCGCTTCATCTTCTGACAGGACGGCAGTGAACAGTTGGCGTTACGACACTGGCAGGCATGGACAAGGGACTGGATACAGCGCTGGATGCTCAGGCGGCGAGAGTCACCAGGGCTCTGGGTGGTTGCAGTCTGCTGGTTGTTGCTCTCATCGTCTAGGCCAAGGCCCAATTTCTCCATCTTGTGGTCGTGGTTTTTAGTGTTATAACAGGTGATGCACAGGTCGTAATCCTGCAAAGAGACAAACCATTTTGAAAATTAAACAGCTGTCTACATAACCTGGCACAATAAATATACAAATGGGGTCATGTCACTAACAAGGGATATGGACTGTGGTTGGGGAGAGGGGGATGGCCTTTTTGTTGATTATCAAGCCAGAAGGAACCATTGTGATCATCTAGTCTGACCTCTTGTGTAACACAGGCCATAGGACTTCCCTGGATTAATGTCTATTCAACTATACCACTGCTTTTAGGAAAACATCAAGTCTTGATTTCAAAGTTTGCAGTGATGGAGAATCTATCACAACCCGTGCTAAATTGTTCCAATGGCTAATTACTGTCATTTAAATTTGCACCTTATTTCTAGTGTAGATTTGTCTAGCTTCAACTTCCAGCCATTGGATCTCGTCATATCTTTGCCTGCTAGATTGAAGGACCCTCGTCACATTTCTGTTCTTCACGTAGGTAGCTCTAAACTGATCAAGTCACCCCTTAAACATCTCTTTGTTAAGCTCAATAGACTGAGCTGCTTATAAGCACGTTTTCCAATCTTTTATTCATTCTTGTGGCTCTTCTTTGAACCCTCTCCAATATATCAAATTTTTTTTGAATTGCGAACGGTAGAACCAAACACAATATTCCAGTGGAAGTCACACCAGTGCCAAATAGAGATAATATAACGGCTCTTTTCCTACTTGATATTCCCCTTTTTATACAGCCAAGGATCACACTAGCTCTTTTAGCCAGTGTTGCATGGCCTTGCAATGTTCCGTCCATGGGTGGCGGGGTCGCATAGGCTGGGGGAGGCTTTGCCTCCCCAAACAGCCAGGCATACCCCTGCCATGATGCTCCCTGCGTGCGGCTGTGGCTCCAGTCCTCTGGCTCCGAGTCCAGACCCCAGTGGTCTGGGGGTGGGGCCAGCCACCTTCCCACGCTCCAAAGCTGGGGAGACTGAGGCCGTGCGCCGCTCACCCTCCCAGTGCTCCTTTGGGTCTGGGGTCTAGCTGCGGGACTAGGCTGGTGGCTGTGTGTGTGGGGGGCAGTTCCAGGGGTCGGGGGGCATGCTGGCTCCAGCAGGGGTGGAAGAGTTGGGGCCTCCAGCAGAAGGGGCAGGACTAGGGGCTAGCCTCCCTCAGCCAGCGGTTCATACGCCGCTCATGGTTCCCTCTAACTATTGTGCCGGCAGCTGTCAGTGTGAACATACAACAGCCGTTTCCCTTCTGCCCTCTCTGAGCAGCGCTGTAACTTCCGGCAGTGTAACTTTGCCAGTGTAGACGGGCCCTCAGAAAAGCCCAGAAAGCTTTGGAGGAGAAAGAGAAGGCTATTAAGGAGTTAACAAATCGGCTACATTCAGTGTCAGAGGAGCGATTAGTACTTTTTCAAAAGATGCAGGAGTTAGAGGAGAAGTTTGAAGAGAGTAGGTATCGGGTACAGAAAGCAAGAGAGGAAACACGCTGTTGGCAGGACCAAGCGGCTGCCAGCTGAAGATCTCTGAAGGGCTATAAATCAGACCGGGATCGGCTTTTGGAGAGAATCGGGGAGTTGGAAAGTGTTTGTGATGTGTTAGAGAGACAGACCAGGGACACAGTGCCAAGTATAGCAGGGCTACAAAATGCCTGCCGCTGCAAGCTTCTTGAGAGAAGAAGCAAGCACGGAGGTACAGATGGTGACACAGATTGTGAGAGAGATCAGAGGACCGGCGCATCGGTTCCCATTCCCGTTAGTATGGTGGAGCCAACAGAGATAGAGCAACCTGTGGGGCCAATTACTAGAAGCAGGGCGGGAGAGTTAGCACAGGCTGACACGGTACCTTCAGGAGCGGAGACGGAGATTGTCTGAGGAGCCACAGGGACCGTCAGTTACCAGTAGCAGCTGGGCGTAGTCTGCAAACAGAAAGGGGAAGTTCCAGAGTGGCACAGCAGGAGGTGGGGTCAAGTGTCATCTCAGAGGAAGTGACTGGGGGTGCAAAGGTCAGGATAAGATGAGCGGAGCAAAGGGGGAGAAGCCATCCTCTCCTCTGTTAGTGTCTGCCCCTACTAGCAAAGAGGGGGTGCTTTTAGAGACTGTGATTGTTCAGGAACTAGCCCAGTGGTTCTCAAGTTTTTTTTTCCCCACAGACCACGAGAAAATTGCTGAAGGTCTCGGCGGACCACTTAATGATCTTTCCAAATGTTATTTATACTGTTAGCTAACAATTGTAAAGTGCTTTGGATAAAAGTGCTATAAAAAACGTAATAATAATAAACTTTTTTTGTTCTACAAATAAAAGCACACAACTGATATTTTAATATCAGTAATCTTACCTTTCTAATGTGATGGATGTGCCCTCTCTTCCCCGTCGCAGCAGCCCCCAAGCTGGGGCTGAGAAGGAGGGGGGTGTCTCCCTCTCTCCCCGGCAGCCGCAGCCCTGGAGCTGGGGAAAGTCGCCTCTTTCTCTGGCCGCTGCAGTCCTGCACATCCCAAATTCCCCCCACCCCCTCTTCTCACCCCACTACCCCTTCCCACCTACCCCCTACTTCCCCCAAGGCCACCACTTCACCTTACATGTGCGTCTTCTCCAGGGTCCAGGCACCTAATTAGCGGAGCCACACCTGTGCGGCTCCACTAACTAGGTAGGTGGCCCTTCATTCTCTCATGTGCAACCGCCCAGGCATGCATCTTAGAGAGAACTATCTGCAGGCCACCTGAATGGAGCTCGCAGACCACTGGTGGTCTGCAGACTACAGTTTGAGATCCTCTGGACTAGAAGATGCGGTGTCACAGGTGACACAAGTAGCTAGTGCCTCTGATGTAGTAATCTCTAGGTTACAACACAGAGAGAGACAACATCCAAGGGATGCCATGTCTGCTCCTCCACCCAATGTTATATTGACACCATATAGGTCAAGAGACCCACCCCCTTCGGGTGGGCACTTATTGACATTTGGGTGATCACCAGCACTGCCTAGGTCCCTAGAATTTCGTGGAACATCTTCACCCCCTTGGTATATGCTGGTATCACCTGGTGTACCTGTAGAACACCCAGTAACACCCAGTCTTAATGGACTGAGGGATGTCCTGTGTCAGTGTGGAGATGCCTTAAGTGTAGGATGTAGAGGTTTTATGGAGAGTTACCCTGCTCACGCAGGATTATAGGCAGGGGAAAGTTCTGATAGCTCTGATGAGGAAAGTGCTGATCCGGGTAAGAGAACCCTATATCCTGTATTGAGGAGTCAAGGCCCAGAAACCATAGATTCAGATCCAGGCAGAAGACACCCACATCCTGATCCAGGGAGGTGAACCCCAGATTCTGATTCAAATTGTCCTGTGGCAGCTGTTACAGATATTAAGACCCTAGATTTGATAGCTAAGCAAGTAGGGATGATGGAGGATTCTTTGGTTGCGATGCATGCACAGCGTGTGCAAGAAACAGTGAAAGTATTTGGCTTACCAAGGGAAGACTGGGTTAAAATCCTATAGCTCACAGTGAATTGAGCATTATGGAGTACCTTACTCCCTGAGTATATGGTAGGAGAGAGATCTTTTAAAGAAACAGTAGCCCTATTGGAACATAACTAGCACGCAGGACAAGCTGGAGTGGTCATCCTGTCTAACCTAAAGCAAAGACCCAATGCTGGTTGGCAATCATGAGTTGGAAGCCCCCCATGAAGTAATCTTTGCATCCAAATAAATCCAGGCGCTTGGCGTCCTTAGATTGCTTGCTGACCCTGCCTCTCCCTCTCATTTACTGCCGACACTACCAACGAGCAAGGCTGTGGGTGTGTGAACAGGTACTTGAACCCTTTGGAGAGTATGAAGTACTTCCTCTCCACACCCTTAGCGGTGGGAAGGATGGAGGCCGGGGTCTGCCAAATGGTCTTTGCATTGGCTTGTATAGTTTTGATGAGAGGTAGAGTGACCCTGGATGGTCCTTCTAGTGCCAGGATGTCCACCATAGGGTCCTCTGACTCTACCACCGCCTCAGCCTGCAGGTTCATATTCTGTGCCACCCCACACAGGAGTTCCTGGTGGGCACGGCTATCTAGAGGGGGCGGTCCCGAGACGGAGGTGCCCACCACTGTTGACCTGAATTTGATGGGTTAGCTGTTATGGCTTGCCACTGTTCGCATCCGACCAGAAGATTTATAGGTTCTTGTCCAATTCAGACTACAGGGTCCGAGAACTCAGAGAGTTCTATATCGGGAGAGGACTGTCGGGGTGCTTGGCAAAAACACGTACACTGAGGACAATACCAAATTGATGTAGTGCCCCTCTCCACCTGGTTACCTCCTTTAATGGAAATCTGCTTACAGGTTTTGATGGACAGGTCTGGGTTCTTTTGGATCCCGCCACCCATTCATCAGGGTGAATCTTTGTTCTTTTTTTTTCTATGAAATTATTTGGCGGTGACTCCACCCTCCTCGCTCCTTCCTGGCAGGATCACCAGGGCAGCTTGGGCGGAAAATTCTAACTACAGAGTAATCCCCATTTACTTGCCAGATAGCTGGAGACTTCCAAGAAATAACACAACACATAAAAATATATTCAACACAATAATGATATTAAACAGGCAACAAATACAACATAACATAGGGTGAAACACTATTTTTAGGGTCACCGGTGCCCACACTGAAAATACCCGTGACTTGATGTAACAAGTGTAAAATTAGTGTCCTGTTGGTACGGGTACTTTGCTGGGGCCCTTGATGACCTATACAATTCTCTGTGGTGGTTTAGCTGTGTGGCTGACCGGGTTCAGTACAGCCCAAAGGACCCACAAGTGGGAGGAGGTGGTGAATCCCTCCACAGGTATAATAAGCAGCAGGTTATAAAATCCTCAAACCCTTACTCCCTGGCTTGAGGACACAGTTCAGGGAGTAGGGGGTCCCCAAAACAAATTCCCTGACTAACTAAAAGACGGTGCACTCACGAACTCCATGAATGATCTTCAGGTTTGAAGATGATGCTGGGCTCTTCAGTCACTGCAGAAGGGCTGCTGTCTGCTGTCAGGGATCCTCCTCAAGCAGGAATCAGGCTGCGTTGGTCCCAGGATTTCCCCTCACCACAAAGGGGTGCAGGGCTCAAGGTGTAGGTTATACAACTACCCTAACATCCCAACTGTAGCCTCCTAGCCCAGCCTCCAGTCACACACTCAGCAGGCAGCTTCCCTGGACTAGCAGAGCTGACCATGTGGTGACTAGTCTCACCTAGGGAGCTGGAGCCTGGCTGGGGAAATTTCTCAAAAAACACTACCAATTGGGACTCACCCGTGGGGAAAGAAAACCGAGGTGAGGGATCAGCTGTCAGGTCCCTAGAGGCCAGTTCTCAGGGGGAACCCTGCTTGCAGGCCTGGGACTCACCAGCTCCCCACACAACCAGTCCTGCCCTTGCCCTGGCTGGCTCCAGCCTCTCCAAAAGGGCTTCTCGCCTCTCCTGAACTCCCTGGGAGGGGCATCTCACTCCCTATTGGTTGCCAGGCAGACTCTGAGTTTGCCTTGGCTCCTCCTCCCTGAGCTGCCGGCAGACAGAGCTCCAGGAATCTATGTAAGCTCCTTGGGGGTTACATTGATAAAAATTTTGAGATTAACAAAAGAATAATAAATGCTATGAAACTTATGACTGCAAAACAGTAAAAGAATTCCACAACTCCTGGTGGTAACATTCCTATTATAAATAGCTTAACCTAACATACTCACACCCTTCCTCGAGGACCTGGTAATAGGAGGTGAAGGACCAGCCTTACTCCTGACATGCCCGATAACACAATGGTTCTGGCTTCCCCAATACTTAGGAATGCTGCATAGTTATACTGTACTACACACGCTGAGCTGATAGCGTGATGGAAGATAGAATGATAGGTAGATAAAAAGATAGTCTATAGAACAAAGAGAAGAAAAAAGCTCTCTAAGATATTCTTACATGGTATTTTATAGGATCCTGACACTATGTAATTCAGGCCCAACCTACTATACCCAAATCTTACTTCTGTACCCTAAGAAATTTATGGGTACCCTTCTCCTATAGGTTAGTGGATTATGACACGTACTCTCCACTTATTAATAAGGATTGTCTCACTCCAAAAACTGCCAAGCTAGGCTCTCTTGGCGACTTCCAGGTTTGTGGTGCACCCTGCGGTTACCAACCGGTTGCAGACGCCGGATAAACCTGTTCAGTGTTGGGTGTAGTTCCTCCCTTCGGTTCCCCAAAGTTCAGGGACCATTTCTATCTGTGCCATTGGTTGCCAGCCTTTATGCTGACTTACTATTAACTGATCATACTTTTAGCTATTAAGCTGATTTTACCAGATACAGGCCCGTAGGCTTCTTGCATTTCAGCAAAACTTAATCTATGTATAATTATTAGGAAACACATATCATATGCCTCAATACATCCCAATTTCATAGGAATTCATACTGATAAAATATAAGGATCATGTATGAAATGGATTAATTCAGAAAGAGAAACATATTATTTGATATGGCTGGCTGGATTAGTAGGATATAGTAGTTAACAAAGTAATCCTTTGGGCTATACCACCGCCTTGTCCGGGGAGGATGATGAGGATACTAGTGGGGTAACTGGGTCCTCTGGACCCTCTTCGTCCTCAGGGACCTGCTGTCCCGCTTCTAGCTCCGTGCCAGCCACACCAGTGGCACTCAATTGGAGGGAATAAAAATGGATGCCTACCTGCAGAATCAGCAAGAACATTTAAATCAGGTCCACTTGCAGATAGCTGCTAAACTGGGGAAAGGCAAAGGCCTACTTTGACAAAAACCAGAGAGAGAATACTTGGAAGGTTACAATGTTATAATGTTGTTATCTTACAAAGCACCAGAGCATGGGCTGTGTAATCGATGAATCAGACCCTTCTGAATCATCAGTAATCTCAGTTCAGCAGTGTATAAACTTAGGATAACAGGAGGCAAGTGTAATAGAGACAGAATCTACCATGCTAACTCGTTAAAGCTGTATCGATCATCCAGGTCACAGGAGCAACTTTCACCTCAGGAGCCAGGTGAGCAACACCCAGCAGAATTGCAATAGCTGTAGTTCAGCAGATCCCAACCATGAAATGGACACTAGATCTTTCTGATTTGCTGCCCCCTTAGCATTGCTCTAAGGGTAAGTGTAGTGGGGCGGCTGCCTCACTCCGGGAGAACAGGGGTTAAAACAGCCAAGCTAGGCTGATTGGAGTAGCAGCCACAGCTGTGGCCAGCTCAATTAGGGCCCAGCTGGCCCTGACAGGAGGGTGTGGGCCAGAAGCTGGAGGCAGTCTCTCTCTAGGTGGGGAGAGAGATGGTACCTGAACTGGAGCAGTGCTGGGGAATAGGGCAAGGGAACTGGAGAGCTCCAGCCTGGGAAATCCCCAGGCCGCAGGCCTTGGTGAAGGCCTACACAGGTACTGAGGTTGCAGAGGTGCAGCTTGGGCTTAGGCAGAGGCAGCTGGTCCGACCTCCTTGCCAATGATGAGTGGCCTTTTACAGGCTGCAGTTTGCCCCAGTGAAAAAGCACAAGAACAAATCTGCACAGACACACCCCTAGAGCCCCAACTACCCAAGCTGCTACCCAAGATCCATAAACCTGGAAATCCTGGACACCCCATCATCTCAGCCATTGGCACCCTGACAGCAGGATTGTCTGGCTATGTAGACTCTTTCCGCAGGCCCTACGCTACCAGCACTCCTAGCTATCTTTGAGACACCACTGACTTCCCGAGGAAACTACAATCCATTGATGATCCTCCAGAAAACACCATCCTGGCCACTATGGATGTAGAAGCCTTCTACACCAACATTCCACACAAAGATGGACTACAAGCCATCAGGAACAATATCCCCAATAATGTCACGGCAAACCTGGTGGCTGAACTTTGTAACTTTGTCCTCACCCACAACTATTTCACATTTGGGGACAATATATACCTTCAAGTCAGTGGCATTGCTATGGGTACCCGCATGGCCCCACAGTATGCCAACATTTTATGGCTGACTTATAACAACGCTTCCTCAGCTCTCGTCCCCTAATGCCCCAACTCTACTTGCGTTACACTGATGACATCATCATCTGGACCCATGGAAAAGAAGCCCTTGAGGAATTCCACCATGATTTCAATAATTTCCATCCCACTATCAACCTCAGCTTGGACCAGTCCACACAAGAGATCCACTTCCTGGACACTACAGTGCTAATAAGCGATGGTCACATAAACACCACCCTATGCCAGAAACCTACTGACCGCTATACTTACCTACATGCCTCCAGCTTTCATCCAGACCACACCACACGATCCATTGTCTACAGCTTAGCTCTAAGATACAACCGCATTTGCTCCAGTCCCTCAGACAGAGACAAACACCTACAAGATCTCTATCAAGCATTCTTACAACTACAGTACCCACCTGCTGAAGTGAAGAAACAGATTGACAGAGCCAGAAGAGTACCCAGAAGTTACCTACTACAGGACAGGCCCAACAAAGAAAGTAACAGAACGCCTCTAGCCCGCCACCTTCAGCCCCCAACTGAAACCTCTCCAGCGCACCATCAAGGATCTACAACCTATCCTGAAGGACGATCCCTC